GGGGCAGAAGCGCGTATCCCCTCCCCCTCCCCTTCCCCTCCGGGGCGCGGGCGCTCCTGTTTTCTCCGCCTCCCCCCGCCCCGGTCTTACGGCAGGCGGGCACGCGCGGGGCGGCCCCGAGCCGGAGGCGGAGGCGGAGGAGCGCGGACAAGGCCAAGGGCGCCGCCATGTTTCCCAGGTTTGAGAGGAGGGGGCGGGGCCTGGCGCATGACCTCGGTCGGACGGCGGCCTTCGAGGGTCAGATCTCCAGGTAGCAGCCATGCGATCGTTGCCACTGCGCGAGCGGCCATGTGGGGGCGCTGCTGAGCACGGAGCCAGAGCCGTAGGGTTGAAGCAGCTACTTTGTTTCCATTTACTTCCTACGTGAAAATCCGGCTGTGACGTGACAGTCTTAGAAGCGGAACAGAGCGTTCTGTGTGCTGTCCCCGAGGCCACAGGGAGCCACAGAAATTTATTGAGTAGGGGTTGGCAGGGTCAGACCTGGGCTTTAGGAAAATCACTTTGGGGGCTGAATGGAGGATGGACTGGAGCTGGGAAACGCTAGAGGAAGGCAGACCCAACCCCCAGCAGCAACTGCAGTAGTCCGGGCCTGAGGGGATGAGGGTCTGCACCAGGGTGGGGGCAGAGTCAGAGGAGAGGAGATGATGGGAAGTTAGCAATAACCACTGATTGGATGGATAGAGATGTGGTGCCTTCCACAGTACCAGGAAAACTTAGAAGGGAGGAATCTTTGGGTGGGGGAGAGAAAGGAGTTCAGTTTTGAGTGTGTTAATAATAATAATTTATTTACTTAATAATGATAGTAATAATAATAATAATAAAACAAACGTGTGCTAGTTGCTGTGCTAAGTGCTTTACAGATGTTTTATTAGTTTTATCCTGTCAGGTAGATGCAATTATTATCCCCATTTTATAGATGTGAAAACTGAGGCAAACAGATTAAGTGTCTGAGGCCAAATTTGAATTCATGTTAAGTTTAAGATGTCCAAGAGGCAGATGGAGATAATAAATGAACTAAAACTATATCCGTAAAGTGGTTAGCACAGTGCCTGGAACATAGTAGGTGCCTAATAAATTCTTAGGGGCATCCAAGGGGCACCATAGTGCACGGAGCACCAGGTCTGGAGTCAGGAAGATTCTTCTCCCTGAATTCAAATCTGACCTCAGATACTTACTAGCGGTGTGACCCTGGGCAGGTCACTTCACCCTGTTTGCCTCAGTCTCTTCATATGTAAAATGAGCTAGAGAAGGAAATGGAGGGGCAGCTAGGTGGTGCAGTGGATAGAGCACCAGCCCTGGAGTCAGGAGGATCTGAGTTCAAATCCAGCCTCAGACACTTGACACTTACTAGCTGTGTGACCCTGGGAAAGTCACTTAACCCCATTGCCTAGTCAAAGAGAGAAAGAGAGAGAGAGAGATGGCAAACCACTCCGGCATTTCTGCCAAGAAAATCCCGAATGGGGTCACAGAGAGTGAGACACAACTGAAACGAACGAACAGCAACAGTAAATTCTTATTCTATTCCCTTCCGGATGTGAGACTGGAAGTCACGAGAGAGGTCAGGGCTGGATTAATAGATCTGGAGCCCTAGAAGCCAGGCCTGTGCAGCGTCCTGGTGGCTGCCTACTCTGCCTCCTCCCCAGTTCTGCCAAAAACCAAGCCAGTCTGACACTGACGTTCTCCCCCTCCCCATGTCTGCCCCCCAGAGATTCTCGGCCTCAAGTGACACTATGGGGAGGAGACGGGGAGTGCACAGAGCTTCCGCTGTGTGGGACAGAGACCCTTAAGCTTTCTGCTGGCTCTTCCCGAGATAGGCAAGGTTTCCTGTCCTCAATTCAAGAGCTGAGCACTGTGACTCAGAGTCACGCGCTCAAAGTTGGCAGAGATCGTCTAGTGCGGCCTGCCCAAGAATCCCCTATAGCAAGGCTTGGTCATTTAGCCTCTGCTTGAAGACTCCCAGTGATGGGGAGCTCGCCACCTTCCAATGCAGCTCCTTCCATTTTGGGGTAGACCTCATTGCTAAGAAGTTTTTCCTTTTGTACATGGCTAATCCCAATTACTTTGCATTTTTTTTTTTGTTTTGTTTTGTTTTCTTCTCAAGGAGAAAGGTCTTTAGATTGATTGACCAGGAAAGACAGACTGAAAATGGTCAACAGGGTGTTGCCTAAGATAAGCGTCTGGTGCCAGCCCCCTCCTGGGATCCTAACAGAACCAGGGGACGGGATTTCTGAGCTCTGCTTTGGGCGTGCTTTGTGTTGGGAAGACGGGAGAACAGCAGAGGCGCAGCAGGGTAGGAGAGAGGCGTGCGCCCCGGCTTTCCAGACAGGGAAGACAAGGGCGCCAGACAACCCAGGGCTGGCGGCTCAGCTTCAGTTCTGGTCAAGGTTCTAGTTGGTTGATTGGCAGTTGTCCTTTCCCAAGGAGAACCCAAATGCCATCGCTGTGTTGGAGTCAAGCTGCAGTGCGTCCCACTATGGCTGGTCAGACCAAGGTGAGCTGGGAGGCCCCACATAGGCCGGGCGCAGATGGCCCGTGTGAACACGTGGGGTGGGCTCTCTACATCTGTGCATCCTGCGTGTCCTGTGAGTTACTTCCACTCTGCTGTGCACCTTCTCTGACGTGGGCACGCCACGCCGGGCAGTCCTGTGCCAGTGTCTCCCATGCCACACAATCAATTCCAGAGTTCTTGGTTTGGTGGGGTTTTTTTTTGTTTTTTGTTTTTTTGCTTTTTGGTGAGGCAACTGGGGTTAAGTGACTTGCTCAGGGTCACACAGCTTAGTAAGTGTCAAGTGTCTGAGGTCAAATTTGAACTCAGGTCGTCCTGACTCCAAAGCTGGAGCTTTATCCTCTGTGCCACCTAGCTGCCCCAAATTCCAAAGTTCTTAAGAGAGATCCTGAGAGTATCCTTGTATCGCTTCTTCTGGCCAGCATGTGAGCTCTCGCCCTGTGTGAGTTCTCCTCAAAGTAGTCTTTTAGGCAAACATACATTTGGCATTCCAACAACAGGCGAGCCCATCAGAGTTGCGCTCTCTGCAGTAGAGTTTAAATGCTTTGCAGTTTAGTTTGAGAAAGGACCTCACTGTCCGGTACCTTACCCTGCCAGGTGATCTTCGGAATCTTCCTAAGACAATTCAGATGGAAGCGATGCTATTTCCTGGCATGACGGTGGTAGACTGTCCAGGTTTTACAGGCATACAACAATGAGGGCAGTACAGTGGCTCTATAGACCTTCAGTTTGGTAGTCAGTCTAATACCTCTTCTCTGCCACACTTTCCTTAGCACAAGCAGCAGAGAACCGATCCATACTTTCTTACATCTCAGCCTCAGAGGCTGCATTGAGTGCACCATCATCCGCAAACAGAAAGTCATGCACCAACACTCCCTCCACTTTGGTCTTGGCTTGTAGCCTTTTCAAGTTGAAGAATTTACCATCAGTGCAGTGGCTGGCCTTGATGCCACGTTTGTCCTCATTGAAGGCTTCTGACCACATGACTGAAAACATCATGCTAAAAGCATGGGAGCAAGCACGTGGCCTTGTTTCACTCCACCGGTGACTGGGAAAGTGAGGGTGCCTTGTCCATTATCCAGAACCGGGGCAAGCGTGCTGTCATGGCAATGGTGTACAATACTGATGAACTTCTCCAGGAAACCAAGTTTTGGCATAGTTTTCCGTTAGCCCTCACCACTGACAGCATCAAAGGCCTTGTCAGATCTACACACGTTGTGTACAGACCTCTTCTGCTCCTGGCATTTCTCCTGGACTTGTTGGCAGCAAACTCCATATCAACTGTCCTCGGCCCTTTCTGAAGCCACACTGGCTCTCAGGTAGATGACCAACTTCTGATGGCTGGTCTGGGCCCTTTTCCAAAATGGAGGCTCCTGCAGGAGCTCACCAGTGGGAGAAAGGGTGATGAGGCTTGTGCTTGCGAAACACGAGGGCTGTGGAGAAGCCCGGGTGAGCTCTGTGACTAGTTTAGAGGAAAGTCACCAGAGCCATGGACGTGGCGAGCTCAACCACAAAACATCCACCACGGAATGCGGTCACATTATGAAGAACAAGCCGGGCCCCAACCTGCACCCTGTGCAGACCTGTGTAATCTGGCGACCAGTTTTGCTCTTTTTCTCTTTCATTTTTTTTCTTTAAAAATATCACTTCTTGTGTGGGAAGGCTCTCTGAGGGAGGAAGAAGAAAGGACTGTGGCAGGACATGGGGAGATACAATGGACACGGGGGAGAACAGGCGTCTGAAACCAAGGGAAAGGGGGCTGGAAACCCCAATGGACCATGTGGTCTGGGGGTGAATTTTAAGGGAGCAGCCCCAGGGAGTGGGCGGAATGAGGGGAGCTTTGCCCCAGCCTGGGATGCAGCATCTGGGTCCCCACATCTGGGCTGGGGTGGGGCCGGGCATGGGTTCCCTGGAGATGGGCAGCCGCCTCTTCCTGGGGCTGAGGTGGCCAGGACCCTTCCTTGGCCAGGGCCCGCTGTGCCCTGATCTGCCCCAGCCCCACCTCACAGACTCAGGCTTCCGGAGGCTGACTCAAGTTCTTGGGAAGTGCTGAGCAGGCTTATCATAGCTGCGGAAGAAGAGGGGCCTTTCCCGGGTTTCAGAGAAGAGAGGCTTTAATAATTCACTGGGTCTGGCCAGGCTTCTCCCTGTCTGCCCACTCAGCATGTTTCTGCCGTGACTAATGTCCCCTCCCCTGTGAGAGGTGGGCTGTGGGCCTGAGCTCTTCTGAGCCAGAAGAGGTGGCTTCTTGGGCCCTAATTAAGCTTGACTGCAGGCAGTGGGAACCCCAGGAAGGCTGCTCCGTGCAGCTGTCTGCCTCCCCTGGGCCTCTGAGTTATTGGGGGGTGGGGTAGGAGCTCTAGCTGAGGCCTGTGGGAAGAGGTGTTGTGCAGGAAAGGGATAGGAGTGGGGGGGTTGGATCCCCCCATTTTTTCCTGTTTTCACATTCCTACAGGGTCATAGCCAGAGCTGTCCTGGGGTGATGGGGAGGCCTCTCAGGGCACTGACATTCAGAAGAAAGTGGCCTTGGTGGTGGTAGTGATGGTGGGCCTTCCTGGCAGGACATCCATACCTCTCTTTACAATCCTAGGCTGGCTGTCACCACAGTGGGGAGGCCTCCTGGGCCCTCCCAGTGAGGCAGAACCTCGACCTGCCCCCCACCA